AAGCTCCCAGGTCGTGGGAGAACCGCCTCCTCAGGTTTCCCAGTGTCCCGGTTTTACCACTTATAAGCCTCGACCTAGTCAGGACACCCAGCCCGCATATGTGTCACAGCAAGCCGAAGATGATAAGAAGCTCAAGCTTGTCGGTAAGTTATGGGCGGAGCTAGTGGCTAGTGGGCTTTGTCTTTGCGATGTCCCCGGTACTGCAACAAATGCGCGAATCCGCGCATGCTGCGCTGTTGGAGGAACGTTTCTTGCGGGCTTGGGCTCCCTCCACCTTGCACCGCTACTTGACTTCGGTGCTCGCAGTCTTTCACTCTCTGCAGGACCTGACTCAAGCCGACATGTCACTGTGGATTCAAGTGCAGATAATCGATGCGATATGGGCCGCTCATCGTTCTGATGCTAGCCCAGACTTCCAGCCCGTTAATGCTATCAAAGCCCTTCGGTGGGCTCGTAAGGCATTGCAATTGGAACTCCCAGATCTATATGGGGGTCTGATGTCTGTGCTGTTAGCGCCCCAGGTTAAGCCGCATCGTGAGTCTTTCCCGGCTCCAATCAGGTTGCTTTCCTTTTGCGAGGTTTTCCTGTTGCGTGGACAGGGTTCTCTTTTGGAGCTCTGTTGGGCTGGATCGATCCTCTTGTGTGCCTGGGCTTCACTCAGGTGGTCGGATTCTCAGCGGCTCCGCTGGAGCTCCTTTGAGATTTGTGCAAATGCACTGCGCTGCGAATGCTTTCGCACCAAAACCACTCGCCGTGGTATGCCTGTAGCGGCAATATCTGAGGGTTTCCATGGCGTGGAAGGCAACGTTATCTTTAGCTGGATTGCAGCATGGCTCCAAGCACTTGCAACTGTTTGGAAACGGCTGCGTGCCGAGCATGATGCTTCTTGTGTGCCAGATTGCCTTTGGTTCCACTTTTGTGAGAAGTCAGGTGCTTTCGCTCCCTTGACTTATGCCCAGTCGTTGCGCATCTTGCGTGACTTTGCAGCCACAAGGCCGGCTTGGATGCGGAAGCTTCGCAGTTGTCTCTCACTTTGCATTCTTTGAAGAGTTCTCTGTTACACTTGATGCACCAACGTGGTGTGGATAAAGCCGATCGCATGTCAGCTGGGCATCATCGTCTTGATTCGGCACCCTTGTATAGCAGGGACGACACAGTCGGCGCAATGCGGGCCCAACAAGTGGTTTCTCAGGCCGTTCGGGGGGGTTGGCTGCCGTCATCCCCTCAGCGCCGTGGCGCACAGCATAGCATAGTACAGCAGCCGATCCTTGTCATGGATTCCTTGCCCCAGTTCATTGCTGTGGATCCGATTTGGGGTCCTGTGCACCCAGCTTGCAATGCAGACTCATTCCCATCGAAGCCTCAGCCAACAACAGTTTCCCAGGGTGTGCACCTCTCTGATGAGCAGGATCAGCAGATGCAGGCACTGCAGCCTCCTTCGGAAACACCACCTACGGCTGGCGGTCTCACATCGTCCGACTCTGATCCGCATATGGCTGCAAATGGCACAGCTGATCTTGGCACTACTGACGAGTTGTCTTTTTTGCAGGGACCCTCAGGCGTCGTTCATCTGGCTACTGTGGCATCTTGGGGGCTACTTCATCAGGGCGTCTACCTTCGCCCAGCATGCGGTACCTTAGGCAAGAAGTTGCGCGTGGTGCCTTTCCCAGATTCGGGGGTACGCTTTTGCGGTCATTCTGCCTGCCGCAAAGCCTTGGAATCATGTGATTGATTCGCTGCACGGCGGTCCTCGGAGCGCGGAAGGATGGCGGGCTTTTGCCCGGGTGGAGGTTTCTTGAAGTTTGCCACTTCGGTCAGGCTATGGTGCGCGGCATCGGTGGGCATTTTGCCCTTATGGAGCGCGGAATCGGCGGGCATTTTGCCCTGGTTTTGATTTTGGGATGTGTCTTATGACACTCGGAGCGCGGATGGTTCTGGAGCGCGGAAGGTGACTCTAGCGGTGTGCGCTTGGCAAGCTGCTTGTTGCTTGCGTTTTTGCAGCCACCACATCTTTATTGGAAAGCAGCGCAGCTGCCAGCGTGCAATCTTGCGAAACAGCTCCGCGTCCAAGAAAGACAGCAACAAGTCCTGAGGAAGTAGTGATCGAATGGCGGGGCTGCAGAGGCTTCGGGATTTCGCACCGCCCAGCGAAGTGCAGATCGCTTCTTTGAGGATTGTTTCCCGTCACGATCATGCTATGCCCTGGCGTACTTCCCCAGAAGGTTCTTCGCCGCGACTTGAAACTGTCATTGTTCCGGAGCTCGTACAGCGGGTGTTTGCTTGACCTGACCGAGATGGGCAGGTTTGGTTTGAGCAGAGCCTGCGAGCGAGGTGTTTCAAGCTGTGATCATTGGGCACAGAAGTGCGATGCCCGACAGCCGTCGAATCCTTGTCCTTGTTTCGATCGATTGTTTGCAGAACCCAATTCGAGTGCCACTGCCGATCGAGGAAGAAGACCGTGAAATGAACTAACTGGAACGATGGGATTCAGGCCAGAACAGGCTCTCAGTACAGTTGAGGTAAATAAAGGTCGAGGCGAAGGCCCCCCGCCACTCATTTTGGAAGGAACTATCTGTCCAGTGTCCGCACATGCGGACTGAGCCGTTGTGAAGGCATCTGCACTGCGGCCTGATCGCTATGGTTGAACAGGCGTCAGGCGACAGTACGTTGGGGGTTGATTGGTTGTGACCTTGTCGTCAATTGCAGCTGTTGGCGCAGGTTGCGAGTTTGCAGGGCCTTCTGCCATGTTGCAGCGCTTGGGCAACAAGTGTGGTGCATTTCATTTTGTGTTGACACCAAATTTCGCACCATTTTAGAGTCTGAAGGAGGCTCTCTCCAACAGCGTAAGCTATGGGTCTTCAGCCGAAATAAGATTGGAGCAAGGCGGCGGAGCAGTTCCGCGACGGGTTCCAGCAGGTTCCGTGCTAGGGTCGGCCGTGATGGGTTCAAGTTCCGGGGCGGTTCCGCGGGGTTCCGGCAGGCATCGGGCGGTTCCGCTATGCGTTTTGGCAGGTTCGCGCTTGTTTCCGGCAGGTTCGGGGCGGTTGTGCTGCGATGGGTTGCGGCAGGATCCGGGGCGCAATAGGGTTTCCGGCAGGTTCCGGATCGGTTCCGCGATGACGGGTTCCGGCAGTTCTTGCGGGGGCCACTTCCGCTGGAGTGGTTCCGCGATGGCTCCGGCAGGTTTCCACGCTGGTCCGCGCTGGGTCGGGCAGGTTCCGGGCAGTTCCGTGATGGGTTCAGGTTCCTTCCCGCGACGGGTTCGAGCAGGTTGCGGGGCAGTTCCGGGCAATTTCGCGATGGGTTCAAGTTCCAGGGCGGTTCCGCAATGGGTTCCGGCAGGTTCCGGCCGGTTCCGCGCTGGGTTCCGGCAAGTTCTGGGCCGGTTCCGCGATCGGGGCAGGTTCCGGGGCGGTTCTGCAACGGGTTGCGGCAGGTTGGGGGGGGGGGTTCCGCTCTGGCAGGTTTCGGGGCGGTTCCGGGCAGTTCCGCGATGGGTTCCGGCAGATGGTTCCGCGATGGTTACGGCAGGTTCCTTCTGCGATGAGTTCGGGCAGAGGGGCGGTTCTGCGACGGCTACTGGTACTCAGGTTTTTCTAGTGTCAAAAGATCTGGAGCTTCATACCGTCCTTAAACCCGAAAAAAAGCTGCTGCAAATGCTTCACCTACAGGGAGCCCCTAATGCATTTTTCAAGGCTTGGAAAACGCAAGGGGGGGCTGCTTCAGCTTTGCGGGTGCTCCTGTCGCCCCTACCCCGAACCGAAATCGAGCTCCCTAAGCCTCCAAACCCACGCCAAATGCATTTCCCGACCCCTCCTAAACGCATTTGGCTTCTGTTTCAGCAGATCTGGAGCTTCATACCGTCCTTACACCCGAAAAAAAACTGCTGCAAATGCTTCAGCTCCAGGGAGCCCCTGATGCATTTTTCAAAGCCTGGAGAACGCATTTAGAGGCTGCTTCAACTTTGCCGGTGCTCCTGTTGCTCCCCACCCCGAACCGAAATCGAGCTTTATAAGCTTCCAAACCAACGCCAAATGCATTTCTCGAGGCCTCCTGAACGCATTTGGCTCCCGTTTCAACAGATCCCCGAAAAGGAAACTGCTGCAAATGCTTCAGTTCCAGGGAGCCCCTAATGCATTTTTCAAAGCTTGGAAAACGCATTTAGGAGTTGCTTCAGCTTTGCCGGCGCTCCTGTCGCCCCCTACCCCGAACCGAAGCATTTCCCGACCGCTCCTAAACGCATTTGGCTCCCGTTTTAGCAGATCTGGAGCCTCATACCGTCCTTGAACCCGAAAAAAAAAACTGCTGCAAATGCTTCAGCTCCAGGGAGCCTGTAATGCATTTTTCAAGGCTTGGAACACGTATTTAGAGGCTGCTTCAGCTTTGCCGGCGCTCCTGCCGCCCCCTACCGCGAACCGAAATCGAGCGCCCTGAACCTCCAAACTCGCGCCAAATGCATTTCCCCACTCCTCCCAAAGGCATTTGGCTCCCGTCTCAGCAGATCTGGAGCTCCATGCCACCCCCATGCCTGAAAACGCAGCCGCCCACAAACTGCTCGAATCAGAATCTTTTGTTATCTTTTTTTCAATGCCCCCATCTACAGCTCTATCAGCTTTTCTGGCGTTTCCATGTGAGCCCAACGACAGCCACTCCGTTGTTGGGGTTGTTCAATGGGATTATTGAAAGCTCAAGGAGGTCTGGGCAAAGGTCCTTCTGAGTAAAGGAAATTTCTGGAGGCTTTGGCTTCTGGAAGCTCAGGGAGGTGGGACATGGTGGGACGTTGCTCAGTAGATGCGATCAATCTTCCCAGTCTTTACCACTACTGCACCTGGTACCCCAACCTTGCGTACGTGTCAAAATAGCTTCCTGGTCAAATCGGAGTCAGATCATTTTCGCGAGGATTTCCCGAGATCGAGGAGGGTTGCTCGATTGTTCACAACATTGCAAAACCTGCAAAACCGTCTATCTTCAATATTTGGAGCAGTTCAGAACCGAGATGCATGGCCGGCCTTCGCGTCTCTGCGTCCTTGACAGAGCCCCTTCTGGGTCCCAGCAGGAGAACAAACCCGCAAGCAAAGGAAGGTCTGCTTCGCTACCACACGCACCTTCTGTCAGGACGGTGCAAGCGCATGCACGAGGTGCCAATGCGCGCTTGCAGGCAGGACGTTCCCGATTTGGGATAGTTCAAGCCATTTTGTCGCTCCTGAAATCACTGCAAACGACGAACAGTTGGGCTTCTGTGCAAAGCAGTGTTGTGACTGTATGGAGTATAGAACAAGGTCCTTCGGCTGAAGTGCGGGTGCATGCCAGGGGAGCGGTTAAATTGTTTGATCAGGTCTTGCCAAGTGTGTGGCGTTGAAGTCGTGCATCAATCTCATTCTGTTAGCTCCACGGTGTCCAACAGTCCAACACTAACATGCTCTCGGTGAATGAGGCCACCGCGAGTTCAAACATCGACGACGGCGTTAGGAAGAGCAACTTCTCGGGGACTCCATTAAATGCCGCGGGCTTTGTCGTTGCAATGCACTTTTGTGTCCCTGTCTGTAACCGATGATTAAGGCGAAGAGCGTTCCGCTGGCTTCCGATGCCAAGCTAATGACAGGGATCGAGGCAACGTTCGCACTGGTGCCTTGCCTCGTCTTCTTATCAGCTATGTCTCAGCCGGGTACAGACTCTTTAGATGTAGTGTTTGTGAAGAGTTGTCGGTTAGGATTTGCACAGGTCAGCTTCCTGATGAACGTTGCGCAATTCACATTGCCCTTCTGCTTCGTTCGGGTGGGCTGGTTTGCAGCTCCTTGGGCCCAATCTAGAACGTTGTTCATTTGGACACGCAAGGCCGATTGTCGGAGGCTGACACGTTGTGTCGATCATAGGCCGATCGTTCAGCTAGCCTCGACAAACACTCGGCAGCCGTGGCTACCTGTGGTGTCAAGTTGTCGCAGACTGTAAGCTCGTTTGCGTGATTCCACAAGGCATTGAAAGTACTGTTAGTTATAAGTTATATAGTGTGGGCAGTTCTAAATCGTAATGTTTCATCAGTGCGAACTGCAAGAGTATTTCAAAAGCGTTGAGATTGCAGCACTTTGAGGTGTTCTTGATGGTGTTGGCGGGCTGGCTCTGCATGCATACAGCGCTGATGCTGCAGGAGCGTGGCTCAGGTGGTGGCTCAGTTTTCGGCCACAACGTTCTAGTTACTTGACTCTACTCTTCGCTTTTTGGTGCCAGTTTTCTTGGCCAGTATCGTTGATTTTTTTGCAACAAAACTCCAGCACCCCCGCCACTCAATCCTTTGCTGGATGGCGCCAATTGTGCGAGTAAAGAAGTCTAACACATTCTTTTGACAAAGCCAAGCTATGTTGATGCTCACTGGTTGACCGAAAGCCCCCTCAAGCCAAACAGAGTGTCGATTCAGAAGTCTTGTGGCACATCTGAGTGACTAAGACGTTGCTCTCAAACAATATGTGCAAGTGCACGTCTTTTGTCACAGAGTTTGGCCCAACTGCCCCATAGGAGGCCTGAATGAGATCCTAAGTGATCGAAACTAGTCTCGATTGTTCCTTTGGTCAGTTGAGACAGTCCACACGGGCTTGAGAAAGCAGGGAACAGAGTCTATTCGTTGAGTCCTGTCTAGCAGTACACCTGCTACTGTTTGGATGTGTACCACGTTCTGGTATCGCTTTTGCTGGCAATTCTCAGATGTGGGCTGTAGCTTTGCCTTACGGCTGTCCCTTGCAAAGCTACATTCGCTAATGTTTGTTGCCGTTCTTGTCGTCGTCGTGGTGGTTGTCGTTGTTGCGATGGCTATTGTTGGCAATAACAGATTTCTTGTCACTTCAGTCTCTCCTCTTCCTGCCCCTCTGACGACATCATCATTTCTATGAGCACCGTCACCGCTTCCGTCCCTCTTCAATGTCAAGCTCATTCTGGTCATCCTCATCTTCATTCCCATACTCATCCTTCTTGCCAATTCCATTGCCTGTAATTAAAGCATTCGTTTGTGTGACTGTGGTTCCCATGTTCTTGCCGCAAATCTTCCTTGCGGTGTGGCACTCTGTTGTATGTCTTTGCAGCTTTTTTCATTGTTTCTGTCTTTTCCTGGTTGCAATTGCGGTAGGTGTCGGTGGCCTTTTAGCACAAGACGCATTTTTGTTTTGTATGCTCTGTTCCTCGGCGCATTTCTATGATGTCTCTCCTTGCCAGGAGGCACTGGTCGCTCTCACCAAGGAAGGCATCCGCTTTCCTGCGGCCTGCCTTATTGCGGTATCTCATGATTGAAGATGAGCTCCTTGTACCGGAGCCGGCCGCATCCTTGTGTTAAGCCGTAGTAACTCGGTAGTGGCGGCCTGCAAATTCGATCCACAAATGCAAGCCCCCAGTGTGGTTCGGATTGAGGGTTGAGTGGTTGACATCATCAGTAGTCGTGGAAACAAGCCCAGTCGAGCCGTTGTTCACAAGGTAGGCTGAAACATCTGAAGGTAAACTTAAGCTGTGCTACCGTGGAAGCTATCAGTTTGCGGCTAGTAGCAGGAGTCGTCGTAGTCGTAGTCGTAGTCGTAGTAGTCGTACAGGTAGCACAGTGTATGAAGAAGTGGAAGCAGAAGTAAAAGTTGAAGTGGCGGCTCTTCTAGAGAAAGAAGAAGAGGAATCAGTGGCCGTGGCAGTCTTTTATGCTGTTTATGTCCATCGAAGAGCCTCCCTCTCTTTCAAGGAATATTCCGACCTCGCAGCGGTTGCGGTTGGTCCTGTCTTTGCAGCGTGGGCACAGCTCTTTGGCAGAAGCATTGCTGTAGTATGTAGAGTGCTTCCTCGGAATTCTTGCGTCTGGGTTCAAGACCAAGGACTTGGTGAAATTTGATTTGTCTTTCGAGGACGTTGCTATCGTAAGCTTTCGGGATGCTAGGTTTTGATTTTCAGTCGTCTGAACTTTGGCTCTCCCCGCATGTTAACTCGTTGGCTGTGGGGTTAGCAGGGACGAGTGAAGCATCGCCAGCACAGCAGCGCGAGACGGAACTAAGCCAGTCGCCTTCGCTTGTGGACGCTGGTGGCGTGGGCGTGGAAAACACCTTTGCCAACGTGCTGCATCGTCATGCCGAAGTGAGCGTACGTACATGCCATGACATGGGGTGTATCGCAGACGGTTGAGCCGATGGGCCGGCTTCAAGGATCCAGGCAGCACTTGCGATATCTTCATGGCTCCCGAGGCTGGTCGCTCTGGCAGAACTTGCGGCTTACGGCAGCAACTGCACAATCAACCTGGGTCTCCCGGCACTCACAGAGGATGGCTGTGGCAGGAGTAAGATGAAGAACGTTTCCAACGGCAGCAGATTGACCTGGTAGTAGCAGGGCTAAGGATGGTGCAGCAATGTCTGGGCCCTTGCAGATAAGTTGAGATAAAGTCACTTGGCAACGAAAGCCATAATGAGATCTAAAAGCAGCGGGAATGCAAGTTCTCTGAATGCCTGACTTTCTATGTCACCAGGGATACGGTCAAGCACCACAACAGATGGACATCATCGTCATCCGTCGTCAGCATCATCCTCATCCTCCTCCTCATCATCATCATCATCATCATCATCATCAACATCATCATCAACATCATCATCAACATCATCATGCTCCTCGTCGTCATCATCATCACCATCGTCATCCTCATCATCACCAGCATCAT